GAGAAGTGACCTAATTGCTTAACTTCAGATAAAAAAAGCATGCCAGATGCTTCATGCGGCTATCTGGCACTGCGTATGGCAATTCAAATACCAATTGATATACTGTTGAATCATCAAGGCCGCTGCTCGGTCTACGAAAAACAACGGTCATTTTTACTTACTCCGGGATATCGTAAGGAACAGCGCTATAGTCCTCTCGCGTTAACTCAATGCGGAATATCGTTAAGAATAGCGCTATATTGTTGCGCTTGATCGCCCCGGCACATCTTTAAGCACATCGCTATAGTGCTCTTGCAACTTCGAGTGCGTCACCATACACGCAAGACACGTCAAGTCAAGGTGCGACTATTTTAAGACACGTCAAGGTGCAGCTCTTTCAACAGGCCGCAGCTAAAGACCTCGATGTATCAAGCTGGGGTCATCATAATAAAACCCACATCAAAGTGACGGTTAGACTGTCAAATTTCGCTATAGACGCCGGGGCTGTATATCGAGTGCACGCTTTTCCAGACGAATGCGTTGTAAAGGAGGCATCAACCTTTCTCGAAAAAATGATACCAACCACCAGCAGGGGACCTCTCACGCCGAGCACCACGATCTACAGGGACCAGCTCTATCACTGATGGACATGGTTATCTCTAACCTAGAATTTTCGTGAAGGCCCTATGCTTTTTACGACTCTGATAATCTAGACTGTAATATAGCTGTGTCACCACGGTATCTTAGTCTCCTAGCGACGGGATGTAGCGGTTCGTATGCATGATAGATACACTACATGTTTCCGATTTGTAAAACCATGACAGTACGGCAAGTATTTCGGGGCCAACTTGAAAGACGGTTAAGCGAATTTGTGGAGCTAGAGGAAATTACCGAAGTGACAATTTTCAGGCCTTTTTTCTTACGCTAAAATTTTACATTTAACACTGATATCTAAGATAGGTTCCAACCGGATTTAAAGTGTTTTTTAGCTTTTTTTCATCACGATTCAGCATACTTCAAACAATCAGCTTACCAACTGACAGCTGCACCGCACATGCGCTGATATTATGTTCTCAGGAACGTGAGTCACACCTGATAACCACTCCATGATAAGAATGCATCTATAACATATACAAACGGTGTAACTTGTCAACCCTACCACTCACCTCTATTGTAATGTGCTTGTGATTTTGACTACACTTGCTTTGCACAGGAACTTGATAATCTTGGCTTCAAAAGCCTTTTCTAGCGTGTTTGACACCTGATCTTAATTATTAACCTTTTTTTAAATATTGTAACATTTACGAAATATTCTCGGAGGAAATGATGGCGAATATCGATATTTTTTGTACGCGCGTTGTATCCCGAAGTTGCTCGCCGAAGCGATTGTCCTTTGGTTAAGCTCCCGAATTTAGTTGCTCGCCTTCGCTCGCGTCTCACGTCAATTAGCATTGAGCTCACCCCGAAAACTCCCTGTAAAAGTAAGCTAAGTGGTACGTGTTCCGCTTTAGCAATGCTTAGTGCCACAGTAAACTAATATTTCACTTGTACAGGACTGGCCTTATTTTAATTTTGACCATGATGCCTGAGACCGACCGTCAATTATCGATACTGTTACCGTATTTAGCCTCCATAAAGCGATCACTGCTGTCTTGCCATCAGTATGGTCGTAAACAAATCTGATGTCTTGCGTTTTGTCGAGATGTTGTTGTATTTCGATATCTGCTTTTTAACACCATTCCCAGAATTCTAAAAGAATATAGATTGCTGATTCACGATGCATTTCACGTCCGGGTGTTTTCATGTCATGATGTACAGCAAAAATCCGATCAGCGACCGACACGGTCTCGTTTTTATTTCCAACCGTTCATTACTTGTGGTCGATGACTGCATCTTTAGTCCTGCTGTGCATGAATTTACCATTTCCTTTGCACCTTGCTGGTTTGATAGTTGCCCACCACCTTCGATGTGTCTGGTCTGCTTTTTCTCAGGAGACCGGCCTTGGAGTAGTTTTCGACCTCTATCCCCAGTATAACCTTCGTCGTCCCAATTCCTTCATTTGGATAAGCGGCTTACCGCGTTTTTGTTGATGCGATCTCTTTACTGGTCTTGGCTGCAATAATCATGTCATCGAAAAACGGGAAAACGTACAGCTAATTTTCGCGATCATGCTGCATGGGCACACATTGGATAGCCCTGCACCTCTGAAACCCAATCTTCATCAGAAGTGCATGCGCATTTTAGTGCTATGCACGCGCTCCCTATTTAACCCCTAAAAGGCTTGCTATACATTGTAACCCATACCTTTACGTGCTGAAAGACGTGGTGTTACCTCCATGTGCACTTGCTACTTGATCTTCTATTCAGGATAGGCGTAATCAAGTCCATTTTTTTGGACACATACCCAATTTATACAATCACCGTTAACACAACTCGCATAACATTTCTGTAAACCGTTGGTACGTACGTCTCGAAGAATCTCACACCGAAACTCTGCTAAGATGCTTAGCAACAATCCTGTACTTGTATGTGATGACCGCGCCGAGTCTATTCCGCTATTTCGCGAAGACCCATCGGCATCCGATTGATCTTCCTTTTACAGTTCTTCGCTAAGATTATTATGACTCATTTAGTGCATTTTGATAAATCATCACTTGCAACAGCCTCTTGGTACATTTTTGGAGTGTCCTTAACGATTCTGTATATGCTATCACTTCTGAAGCAAGCATACAATCATCGTCAAACCGTACTCTCCAGGGAGATGGGTGATAAAACGACCACCAAACTCTTCATCACAATTTGCTTTCAGTACCGGCTTAAGCATGAGCACTGGTTTTTTATTCGACTTGATTGGGATGATTGGGGTCGGAATACATTGTCGCTATTTATTCTTGGATACTCTGTAAAGTCCAATCTTGACGGATCTTGGTCGTCCGATTCTTGCATACCGGTGTCTAACAAATTCGTCCGGACACTGCATCCGATCAACTTTAATCGGTATCTCTTCCGTGCTCGAAATAAAAATCTCGTCATCATCATCTTTAAAGACCTGGATGATGGTCTTGTCCCTCGACGTCGATGCATCTGCTACTTATTCCACTGAGCTCCCTTACGTCGAGTTTTACTGATCGTACTACTTAAAACTTGTGTGCTTCCAAGTCGTATACCCTGTATCCTTTGGTATTTTCCGCATACAACTGGGGCAAGCACTTGGACCCATTGTGTTTCAACCGAGTACGATTTGTTTCGTCCATATGTGCATACCGCATCTGTCCAGGGTACCTAGGTGTGTGCCCTGCCGGTCTACCGAATTAACAGGTACACTGTCGTATTGACTTTATCTTCCTATAAATCATATAAGCGCCTTGAGATTGCACCATTAACCTTAACTTCTTCATAATTTTCTAGTTGGCTCGTTCCACAACGCTATTTTGATGTAAGCTCTGTGGTACCGGTTTCTGGTGTGCGATCACGTTAGTCGTTCATCATCAACCTTAAATTCTTCATTATTTTCTTGTAGGCTCGTTCCACAACGCTATTTTGATGTAAGCTCTGTGGTACCGTTTTCTGGTGTGCGATCACATTAGTCGTTCGATATTTATTTTTCGCTCTGTACATTTTTTTTTACTTTGTTGACAATTTATGATGCGTTGTCCGAACGCAAGCACTTGACCCTCTAACTCCACTGTCTTTCGTACCTTGTCTAAAGATCTTTAATCTCGTTCAATACTTCTGTCATTTCCTTATTTTTAAACAAGTACGCAACCACACGCTTATAGTGGTCGTCGACAAAGGCGTGCAATTACTTAATTTCACCTTTTGACTCTGTTTTATAGGACTTACAACTTCCGTGTGTACAAGGTCCTGAACACGTGATGTGCGTGTTAGAAATTGCGCGCGACATAATTTCTACACTGTCATTTTACCTTTTATGCAACCACCGCACCACTATCGGTCTTCTTTATCTTAATTATCGGTATATCCCCGTCGACACTAGTTGCGTTAATAGCTGCACTTCTTCGCTTAAGTGCCTCATTTGAGCACGTCACAGATTCCCCAATCTTTAATCAGAGCTTACTCCACATAATGTAACATGTCTTGATGACAGTGCAGCACGAATGCCTTGTCAATTTTTTGTACGGATGCCATTTTCTTCGACTTGTTCCACAAAACCCATGAAGTTTGACTAACTTTATATTATTGCCCCGATCAGTTAATTTGCTGACGGACGGCAACCGTTAATCCAAACCTGGAATGTGCATAGCTTCCTCCACACGGTACCACTTGCCTTGTGTGTCCTTAAAGAGTATATGACCGTTTACGACAACGCAAAGGTATTGACCATTTGCAATGTCCACTTAAATGCCGCTTGCGAATGTTTCTCACCCGATAAACTCGTCCCGATACGAGGACATGTGCACTGTTGCTACCATCACCAATAAAATAACCGGCTGATAGACATCCCATGTAAAACGCGGTATCACTGTCAGATTCGCCGTTGCGGTGGAGGAAAAAAACCATAAATGCCCGAATTGTTTGCAGATGGATCACTTTCCTTTTAATCTGTCATTTTCCTTAAGAGGGTACCAACTTGGACCATGTCCTTTTGCATCCTCTAAGCTCTTCGATCTTCGAAACTTGCTTCTATGGATAACCCTTAGTGCACACTCCTGAGATTCTTTCTTCTCCGGTCGTCCAAATTCTTTCAGCAGCTTCTACTTGACCTCGATAAGTGTGATGTCCCCGAAATTTTCCATGATGCAGGACATCAGTTCATACTTCTCCGTCAAACTTGTCATGATGATGATGAAGGTGACGTATATTAAGGTACGATCTCCGACCTAAGATACCTGTAGTACCGCAAGTCAGTCGCTGCGCCGCTAACTCAATCATTATTTACCTGCGAGGCTTCGGACGGCTGCTTGTCACGGTTAAATTTGTCGCGTTGCGACTGCGATCTCGCGCGCCTTCTTTGCCGGACTTGCGTACTACACGCTCTTCGCGGCGAGTGACGTATCGAGTTAGTGGTTGACGTCTTCATCCATGACCTCTTCCACCGAGAAGACGAGGTGACGAGAAGGCGGTGTGAGCACATGAGCGGATGCTAGAGTGTCCACCGCAATTTTGGCTGCTCTGTCAACCATCTCGTTGTACTCACGGTATTGATGGAACCAGACGGCGACCGCGACTTCGTCTGCTAGTGCTCTCGCCTCGCGATAGAGCGCTGCAAGCTGGGGCTTGAGAAGGGGTCGGTTCATTCGGAGCTGCGAGACCACAATCGCACTGCCACTTAATACGTGCAATGGCACGAAGGCACTTACTTTCGCTTGTCGTAGGCCATGTACAAGTCCTCTGTGCTCTGCAAGGTTGTTCGCTGTCATCTTCTCGCTGTATGCCATGCACGCGACCCATGTGATCGCCTCTCCGTGCGTAGGGACGTGTACACAGAGAATCTTCTACCCGGAGCCGCCTGGTCCCGGGTTACCACGAGACCAACCTTGAAGAAGAGCAAGTAGACAACAACTAATTGTCCACCTCATGGCAAGGCCTGCAGTGTAGCCGGTTTGACGTGTCATCTGCGAGCGCTGATCTCATGAGAGCCTTCACACGTCTAGCTTCGCTGTCACCGGGTCGGTAAGCCGAGCACCTAAATCGCGCAAGCGTATGCCGCGAAATCGTCTGTTGGAGTGCTTGCTGGGCTTCAATCCATAAGGGTGGGTCCTCCATGCGTCAAAGCCTCTCGGGCCAGATTGCGTGAGCCGTTGTAAGTACCGCAAAGCGCCAGAGCTCGCTCGCGGCCAAGAAGACTGGCTCTCGTGCCTCTTGGGCCCCTTTCCTCTCTGCAAGCGTCGTTTGCACCGCCTTCCACGCGTTGCTCAGTCGTTCTGAGAACTCGATAGCGAAGACCATAACATTGATGTCTGCATCGTGGAAGCTGTCGACGCTACCACAAAATTTAAAGCGATGCTGCCTATGCGCTGCGCTGCAGGACAGATTTAGGGAACTTGGCTGAAGGGCGCGTTGACGCCGTGGGGACAATCGGGACTTGGGCACGATCTGCCCTGCGTAGACCAGTTCTAGAGAGGAAAGCTGTTTTCCTTAAGCCTATACTAATTCCGTGTGATCAGCAGGAGCGCTGCACGCATTTGTCGTAACTCCATTCATTCGAGTATATCTGCGCCGCGTGCGACGACACGATTTTCGTTCGCTGTCACGCGCTTGTCACGCTGATTTTAACCTTGTCGGTGTCGTCGTCGGGCAGTGATCTTCTTTAAAATTCCACGGCGCGGCCGCCATCGATGCTCCCCTGCCCAAAGCTTCACGATGCGTGCGAGAGCTGGGCGGGCTCCTAAGCGTACCGGGGCAAACTTCTCAGCATGATCATTTTTGTCAAGCTTCATCCAGAGGTTCGTATAGTGTCCGGAGACCCACGATTTGTTCATCAAAAAGACTAGGTGCATAAAAAACTTCGTACCGTCTTCCATCTTAATCGAATGGGTACAACGGATCATCGACACATGGGGTGCAGTGTTGACCAATTGTTGAAGTCATTGAACCAATAACACACGAAGATCTGAGTTCGCTGTCCGAATCTTAATTTGGTGCTCAAATGCAGTAGTTTTGGCAATACGCCCCAAAGCCTTTACATTGCTGTAAAACCATCCTTCCCTTATCTTCGACGGATCCTTTACATATTTAATGTGTGCCAGTAGTCCCTTCCGCGCCAGACGTATCCGCATGGTGACATACCAATAAATTTATTGTCACTTCCTAAAAATGACTTCGAATTACACAGCGCACGTACTTGCCTTCAGTGCTGAAGACGGAAGAGGTTAATAATTGCGGCTGTTAACCTGTTGAGATACAGGCGATTACCGAAGTGATAACTTTTAGGCCTTTTTCCTTACGCTAAAAATACACATTTAACACTGATATCTATGGTATGTTCCCACCGGATTTAAAGCATTGTCGTAGCTTTTTTTCATCACGATCCAGCAAACATCTAACAATCAGCTACCAACTGACAGCTGTACCGCACCTACGCTAACATTATGTTCTAAGGAACATGAGTCACACCTGATAACCACTGTCTGATACGAATGCATCAATGAACACATACAAACGGTATACCTTGTCAACAGCTTTTGCAGCATGACAAATAGTAAACACGTTTCTTAAGAGACTTGTAATTGCTCAGTGGCTCTCATCACGACGTCGGATTGCGCAACGGGATTACACGCGATTATGGAACCGGTTGATGTTGTATGTCCACAATAAATAAAGATTGGAGTATCTGAGTGGTAAAGGCTTGAAACCACGTACTAACGGTAATATCGAACCTTGTCGGGTAAGAATAAAAGATAAACTTATATCATATAAAGAATAAAAAAAAGGTCAGTTTCCCTTTCGAATCGCTGAACACTAGTGCCTAGTCCAGGCATAGTGTGTTGAAAGAGTGTTAGACTTGTGAAGGCGCTTACTCTTGTCGAACTAGTGGTGACTAGTTAGTGAGTGATTCTGTGGATCGTACCCATTTGGAACCAGAATTGTACAGGTTGTACACTTGAACGACTGTACATCATTGTTATTTTGTTACAAGTAAGAGACTCTTTTAGTCCAAGACTTCCTCTGATAAGGAGCGCTAAGTAGCTCCGCTACAGTTGGTAGCACTTGTATTCAATCTACAACTGAATCTTCACAGAGTGGATCCTCTGCGGGGATAAAGACGGCCGTGAACTTCTCTAAGGCCCAGCAGAGAGACCCTTGAAAATTTCACGGCGTTTACAGGACACGATCAAGAAGCTCTAATAAGCGAACAAGGCCCGGACGCACTTCGTGCACGTCTCGAGGCCTTCTCGAACTTTGAGTCCACGTTGACTGAACAGGTCCATGGCCATTTGGAATCTGCCATGCCCACTCCATTTGTTCCAATATCGGACACTGAGCCAAGGACTCGTCCTCTAGTATCAGTGTCACGTGAGAAGAAAGGTAGAAATCTCTTTTTGTAGGTTCGAGAGATGTAGGTTGCCATCGTCTCGACCCCGCTGCGTTTAGAGAAGCAAATAAGTGAATCTGGCCCTATTGAAGTTTGGTGACCAAGCCAGGAAGTGGGCTTTCACTTCTGATACCTCAATAGAAAAGGCTTCGCCACCTGGGGCATGCTAAAACAGCATGATTCTTGATTTTTGCCCCGCCTAATCGGCCACACTGCGTGCTATTACTCTTCCAGTCAATTCGCCGGGGAAAAAAGGACTTCGTTTAAATTCTAAAAGAGTTGCGAGCTCTCAGCGCTTCTATGCAGCATGACTCTTCACGTAAGAGGGTTTTAGTGACAAGCTATAATGGGTATTTTCACTGGCGTTGCCATACAGAAGTGCCCGGGCACAACACTCGACAATAAAAATTGTAGTGCACATTGCGATGAACGCAGCGTTCCACTTTAGAACAGCCCGTTATGAGACTCATGGTTTCCAGTCGAACTGGTCGAACAATGCTCATCAGATGGATAGGTCATTATGACCTTAGTCTCGCTAAGAATGACAAAGGAGATGAGCTTTACGCTGTCCATCAGCGTTCAATTATCCGTAGATGTTTTGTGTGCGAAAGTACCGAACACCTTCGTCCCAATTGTACTATAAGAAGTACCAGACAGGCTCAGTCAAGCCGACCTCCCGTCGCTGACCAACGAAGTGGTAAGTCGTGGGAAGACGTCGAGTCCGAGTAGTCGCGAAGCGCCCTGCTGGGGAGGGTTAGGCTCTGTTGTGCCTTTATGAGGTGACGGAGAACAAGGCCCAACCCCAAGGGGCTTCGTAAGCGATGTTACGAAGCATGTATACAAGTTAGGCTTGCGGGTTAAGCTCTGTTGTGCCTTTAGGAGGTGATGGAGAACAGGGCCTAACCCCAAAGGGCTTCGTGAGCGATGTTACGAAGCATGAGTACAAGTAAGCCATGGTCAATATTGATCCAGGAAATTTAAACCCTTTGTTGGACGTTTTTCTCAAGTAGAAGGCAGCAGTACTCTGATCCGCTGAAAGCGCGAAAGAATGATACGATCACTGTTCGCTTAGCAAGAGGTGCATTATTCACTGTGCATAAAGCTCCTGTGAAAGTAAACGTGAAGTTTTCGGACCTTAACAGTATTGGACGCTGCCTAGTCCTTGCCTTGGATGAGAGGTATGATCTTATCCTTGGTAAGGCTTGTCTAGAACGCTAAAAGGCTTGGATTTATTGGTGGTCAAAGAACTTAGACGCAATGCGCACTGTTCCCAGTGAAGCTTTGAAAAGTCTTAAGCCCATCTCTGCTAGGAAAAAAAAGCGCTATGGGCGCGAGCCACGGACTGAGACTGTCAGTGTGCTGAACATCGGTATGGCTGAACTCATTGAGTTCGACGATATAAAAAATGTTAGTTACAAGCCAAGCTCTCTGATTGTTAGTGAGACGGCACGTACTCCGTCGAGGGATCAATGTTGTAATAACAAATCACTGAATGCTGAACGCATTGTTGGCCTAGAGCCAAGTCATCACGGGCTGAACGCATCTGGTGGAGTGACACGTAAGTACACATTGAGTGATGTTGGCCGTGATTGCGACACACTGAATGTCAGTCAAGCCATTGTCGGTCAAATACCAAGTCATCAAGGGCAACGCTGATTTGATGAGCGGGGAGTGGCACGTAAGTAAGCACTGGGTGGTGATATCACTGGAAGTGACTCATCACCAGATGTCGGTAATTACACCATATTTGAAATATGTAAAATTAAGGTTGACGTTGTTCGTCACCTTGGGGGCGGTACAGTCCCGGATGTTGGTAATGACATTGGCTATAATAAGGAGCAACTTTAGGTTGACGGGCATGTCAACCTTGAAGATATTGATGTCTTGAGTGTCGGTACTGAAAACTTCTCTTGTCAAACCAAGTTAAGGATGATAATGATGATATCAACCTTTAAGCGAGAAAGTTCCAGTCTCTTTAAGATGCTCAGTCTCGTCACAGAGACGACAGCGACGCCAGATTGTTGTTATGCAATACAAGGCTTCTGTTGCGTTATTAAGGGATACTAGGGAGCGGCTATATACACTCATTATGGAGTGACCGGTGACGTAGATGAGTCAGTGAGCCTTGAGTCTCTACCCTCACTGAATACTCTGTTAGACATGAACGAAATGTCTGTCAATGAGTTTGGCCAGTCGTTGAAGTCAGGTGAATTATCTGACGTGGTGGTCATTAGATTCATTAGTTAGTTTAATACATCTTCACTTCTCAACGAAGCTGTCTTGGAAGATACAAAGGCGGCACCGAGTGCTTGAAGTTGGTCATTGGTACTGGAAGAATCTAAAGTACCGTTTTATCTTTGGTTAAGAAGTTTTATGATGTAGTGTCTAGCAATCCACTTTCCA